AATCAATCAAGTGGGGCGGCCCCCCACACTTTGATTTACACTTTCGCACCAACATATAGTCTATGGCTCTATTATTTATTTTCAAATTAAATAAATAAACAAATTAAGGATGCTAATAATATTCATAAAAAAAATGTTGAATAACGTCTACAATGTCTCCTCTTGCGAAGGCAAAATTTAACATAGAACACAAAACTCGATCTGCTTTCTCTCATCAATAGTTCTCCAAGTCCGCGCAGTCCAAATCCAGTAGCCAACAGCCATTAGCTTTGGTTTACGCCAAACAAAACACACGCACGCATTTATCATCCCTTTTTTATCGCCTAACCCTCTGAAAATTTCTGCAGCGTCGGCCATCGAGCATTTTTGTGAGTATTTTCTCAACGGCGTAGCTTTTTCACCGATGTCCCTTTACGAGGGAAAGTGTAAATCTTTAATCTTGTGTAATGGGATGTTTGGATATTTGAGATTTTTTTGTGTTCTGTTGTAGCATTAGTTTCCCTTTTTGGATTTTCTTTTTCAGATTCGAACTGGTTTGAAAAAGCAACTCCTGCTGGCAACGTTTAGATTGATCTGTTTTGCTTGCGTGTAGTACTTATGATTGGAATCGAAACCTTGTAATGCGAATGTCTGTTCCAAGGTGGCTCCTATTTGTTTGAATTTGAAAGATTATTAAGAGTTCGCTTTTTTGAATCACCAATGATGAACTCAGTGAGAAGAGGATTCAAATTTACTGCGTTGGTTGAGTAAAGGGACCAATTAGCTGGAAGAATATACTGGTGGAATAGTGACTGGATCAAATTACTCAAAAGCTTTTCATTTGATCTGTATATCAAACATCCAAATGTCTCTAATTTCAAGACGATTTTGTGACATTGTTATCTGATTCAAACAGTTATATTTGCTTGCTTGAGGAAAGATTATATTTTTGTGCTACTAGGTTCCAAAATCCATTATAGTGTGTTCTCATTTCATTTGTGGCATAAGTGTCGATCCTATTAACTCCATGAGTTTCAAGATTGTACTTATAGAATGATACACTGTTGCCTGGCAATGAGCTAATTTCAGTTTGAATATGCCAAGTGTGCCGAATGATTCTATCAAAATCAATGCATTATAGACGAAATGCTT